TATTATTTATAAACTACACTTTGTAATGTATTTGTAAATGGAGGAATTGCAAGTAATGCGCAACTTTATTTAAATACACCTACTTGCAGAATACCTGCTGTCCTCGAAATAGTAATGGTGGAGACATTTTATAGTAGAAGAATGTAACACATCGTTGAGTTTAAGATGATCTAGATTCTAGATCAGTGGAGTCCAACTTATTTTTTGTTGAAAGAAAGTCAATAGAATTAACAGGTTATAAGAAATATTATTTACTAAATACTGTGGAACCTCGGTCAACGAGTTTAATCCGTTCCAAAATTTCCGAATTTTTACTCGTTTAGTTTAATTAGTTTAAAAATGATGTAGCAGGCGCGTAATCCGGGACTTCTCTTCTAATCGTTACTCGTTATAACTACTAAAACCACTAAAAATCTATGAAATTCTCGTCATTTTATAATATTTTTATTCCAGAAATTTTTGTTTGTAAAAAAACGTTATATTCTAACGACTATTCCGTGTTTCATTAAACATCATAAAAGTGAGTTTCATGTTGTTTTTGTATGTCTTATTAATGATAATTCCTTAAACGTGGACTTTTTTTTCAATTCTGAAAACTGCACGTGACATTATTAAATGTTGAATTAATGAACATGAAACAACTATTACAAAACAGACATGATTACATATTACTTTTATATACGCAATAAAAATGTTAGTAGCACAAGTTTATTGATCTGCATATTATTGATACGATTAATATTTTTCAAAGATAATTATTTTTTTTTGTATGAGCAAAATTTGTAATTTAATTAATGTTTTATAATTAATTAATATGTTAATTATTTTACTGCATTTCTTATGATAACCTAGGAAATTTCATGGAAATTTTAGTTTTGTATTTTTTTCGACTGACTAGTAACAAGAATTATGCATAGTGATTATTCATTTACAAAGTACATATAAATTTCAAATCTAATGACCGAAGACCGATTAGAAGCAATTAAATGTAATTTGTGTCGTTTCGTGTTATGTAATTGTATAGATTTTTTTAAGATTCTTTGTTTAATGTATGTCTAATCGTTAATTCATGTTTTAATTACATTATTGTAAATTTTACGATTATTTAGTAATCATCATAAGTATAGTTAATTCATGTTAACTACTAATGCGGTTATAAACTATTAGTCATTTTCGAATCTAATCAACGGAAAGTGATTAAAAACAATTTGTGTTTTAATTAGAAGTATACTTCTTCCAATTTTGTGAATAATAATCTTAATATTGTTATTAACTAAATAGAAAAAAAGACTTTGTTACCGCTTAAATGATTAAAATGTTATGAAGTATAATATTTACGCGATTGTTTTTTAAACAAAAGAAATAACAACTCATAAGCCATATAAAAATAGTAATGTTATTGTTAACAATTCTCAGATGAGATTAACACATTACAATAAATATACATTTTAAATCATTAATAAATAATATTTTTATAAGAAAATGAGTATTTGTTATAATAAAAAAGATAGTGATTTAATTGGATATAAAGTATGCGAAAAAATCATCAACAAGACTTGGCCATGACATCGGACGTTCACGCCATGCACCGATTCCAATCTCGTTTGGTTGCTTGAAAACTTGAATGTCCTGAAATAACATCATTTTTATAGAATTGCACACTCTGTACAAAGGAATTCCAAAAATATCCATCTTCGAGCATCCACTGAATACAAGGACGACGTTCATTGTTAACACAATTATGACTGCATTACAATACTAATTCTATTTGCATTTATTTCGATCCTTATAAAGATTAAAGAAAGCATATTTATGTATACACATATATTTTATACTTGCACATTTATTTATTTTTGTATATCTACTTTTTTGAATTACTTAATATGTTTATTTTCAACGAAATGTAATTTATTTAAATAAATTTGTTTTTGTAATATGAGAGAGTTTGATTCTATTCTGAGAATTGAAATTTCGCATCATGTGCGGGAAAGCTTCTACTTAGAAAAGGACGAGAAGAAGTAATTATTTAAAAAAGTATGAGCACATGCATTGCATATACAAGGTGATATGTTATAGTAGATAATCAACTTCCTCAATTACATAAAATAATGTAAGCGTTTGATTAACGAATATAGGAATTTCCCAGAGGTCATTTTCGCCATCAGCTGTAACTTTGTAAGTAAGTTGTTTGTTTGTGCATTATATTCGTTATTTTGATTTTCCAGTTTGCGTCCCTACAAGGTGACCATTAATTTATTTTAAATTGATTAGGTAAATTGAAAAAAGTAAGTGTGAAACATCATGAAAAATGACATTTAACAGACTACACTTGTCCCGTTTATGTAATTAACTTAATTCCTAACATACTTTACTAATTATTGGTAATTACATATTGCAATATTATTGATTTCATTCAAATATATTATATTGAAGTGTATTAATTACTATATCATTAATTTTGATTAGAGCAATTGTATTGTTCATGATGTAATAATAATGATATAATAATGAACGAGATTCAAGTTTATTTCTAAATGCAAAGTCTAATTTTTAAATTGTCAGATAATTTCGCGCAAAATGAAACGTTTTGTAATGTGTCACCTTTGAACGTGTAGTAATTAAAACATTTTCATTGAAACAATAAATCTGTCACTTTCGTTTTGCCAATGAAATAGTGGAGCAATTATATTTGCCCACTAAAAGTTATAGTATTTTATTTTCCTTCTTGTGACACTATTTGTACATTGCTGCGGAATACAATTATATTAATTGGGTCTTGTGTCAAGGTTCCGAGGCCGGCAGTTTCATGTGAAAGGTGAGCGGAATTATCAACAATTTTATGGCAATATTGAATATAGGTGGTAATTTTAGTTCATTGCCTGGCAATATTTACAGTTGGTCTTTAAATGACCACTAGAAAAAAAAAATAGTTGAAATATGTCAATATTGTACGCAATCTTTGTAGAATAGGGTCAATAAAAAAATGTAAATATATATGTATTTTGTTTAGTAATTTTAATTAAAGTTACATATTTATTACTCACTACATAATATATAAATAGCTGCAATGTTCTTGTTTATAAAAAAGCGATATTCAAGTACTTTTAATGTTTTTTTTGTAAACTAATTTTATATTTAGAATTTAAATAAACTTAATTGTCTTCCCGTTGATACTTAATTCGAAAATTATTTTTCTCTTGAATAAATTCTAACATTTCATTAGTATGTAAGAAGTTATTTGTACTGGTAGTCCATTTTATTTATTTTTTGTCTATAACTAGTTATACCCATATATACATAAATCAACGAGTTATGCAATAAAGTTTTAAGATTATGAAATCCTCATTATGCGTGAAATATAATTAAATTATTGATGTGAACAAAATCATGACATTTTAATTAATCTCATCCTTTAAAAAACATCACTGAAATTTAATCCGAAAAGATGATTTTGTTTACAACATTGTTTATTAAATTTGTAAATTTCATATAATTCAAGTATTTTCATATCTTATAGATGTTTAATATTATAATATTCTGTTCATAATAAAAGTTATTGCAACAAAATTTTATTTTTTTTGTCGTGTAATTTTATTCACAATCTGTCCATCAATGTGAACATTGAGTAAATTTAAGATCGCGGTTGACATTAGTTAGGTAATATTTCCCGGTGGATGGCTAACATTATGATTTTTTTTTTAATTTGTTGGTTGGCTGTCGTCTTGTAGGTTAACTTCAGTAGTATATTGATGCTTTGCGATTCCACTATTTCCTTTGACTGTGAATCTGCTGCTATCCATAACACTGTCCATCGACTTGGCTGAAGGACCATATGCGATGTGATGAACGATGGCACTATTGCTGCAAGTACCGTGAGGGCTCACAAAGGGCCTGGCTTGACCACGATTTGAACCTGCGCCTATTAGCTAGTGGGTAGGGCGACTTAAGCATTCGGTTATTAGTCGCCGATTTCAACAAAATAAAAAAAATGATTTGCTACAAAGGGCTACTGACCATAAGTGTTTCTGCCCTTTTTACTTTCATTTTACGTAATTACTGGAAAACTAATTAAAATATCTATTAAATTTGGTTATTAAAGCATAATTTAAAGATAATAGAATGATAATTTGAATAAATTAATTGTTTGCCACGAAGAAGCAGTTGATGCAGTTTTTAATGTTGTTGCAATTAACATAGTTAACATGATTATTATTTGAAATTTTGAGATTTCGATAACCACTGGTCTAAAGCAATCGAATTTTATGCAACATTTCTTCGACTTTGCATTCGCGCGTCATAATGACATATCTATATTCATAGAATGCAATATTGTATGAAATATTTCCATGAAGTAAACACCACATGCTTTTTTTTGTATTTGGAAAATGAGATCAGTCAAGGTTGCTAACTGGAAAGCATATGGATATTATATTCTGGACTTTGTTCTAATTATGCTTTACATGCATTCAATTTTGTGTAACAACATTATTATTATTTGCATTATCAATTCACCATCTGTTTGCGACCTTTCGCTTCACAAAGAACGTGCATCCGTATAAATCAGATCCAATTTGAACACGCGGAAATTACTGAGAATGTCGCGTAAAAGTATTGATAAGGAAACGTGCAAGTTTCCAACATCATTTCTTCTGGTTTCTTTTTTTTTTCTATTAGAAAATAGGGAAATGAACGGCTATGGGAATTCGTAGCGACTAAAACAGTGCAAATAGCCTCTCATTTATTCAATTACATAAACAAACAAATGTCCTCACATATTGCAAGAGCGACGACATTGCATAACGCGGTGATAAAATAAATAGGAAACGATTCCAGACGGTTCAATAAACTTGGCGGTGCTAAATTCATAATCATTGTCTATTTTCTATTCAGAAATCTACAACCGGATTCATTAAAATCATAACCAATATATTGTAACAGCATTTATGAACATAATTATAATACTTGATTGCAAATTTAACTATGTTTTCATTCATTTCCAGGTAAAAAGGAAATTTTGCATTCGATTTCGGGGAAGTTCAAATCCGGAGAGCTGACAGCCATCATGGGTCCCTCCGGGGCTGGAAAATCATCACTGCTAAATATACTTACAGGATTCGAGTAAGTTCTTAAATCAAGAATTAATTATTCAACAAAAATAAACTATATTAATCCATGTTTAATACTACAATCTAGTTGAATGACTGAATAATATATGCTAATTTATTTTTTGCATAATGAAAGGAGAGAGAAATAAATAATAACCCAAAATTTTAAAATAAATTTTAATTTAGTGAATGAAAGTAATTGGGAATTTAATTTTGGAGGTTAATTATAATTTGATCTATTTTTTATTATTTTTGATAAATCAATGGTAACTTAATTAAATAACCTAAATACTAATTCGTTGTATGTTTAAAAACACTATTGACATTATCATACAAACATCATTTATTTTTATTTTTCCTACAAATATTTGGTCATGTAGCAATGAACGCAATTAAAAACTTCTCATTTTTTTATATATGCTAATTAGAGTTTGTCGGTTTTTAAAACCTGGTTTTTGCAAACTGATTTTTTAAGATATTTATATAATTGAAAAACCGATTTTATCAACTACAATATCGGTTTTTGAACTTAGACATAAAATACAAAAAAAATCATTTGATCCCAAAGCAATACTACAGACATTCTTTTCTTTTTAAAATCATATATTCTGAGAAAAAATAAGAAATAAAATAATATTTTATAAACATTTACTGATATTCGTTTTTCTATATAGTTTTCTATGGGTTAATTTTATTTTGTTATAGTTTTATGTAATATTTAAAAATTTTATAAATGAAAATTCTAAAACCGGTTTAAACCGGTTTTTTGTAGAAAAGTTGAGATTCGAAATACTTTTTTTAATCGGTTTTTGCATAGCGCATTTTGCCTAGTGCTGATAATATACACGCGAAGGACGTAGCAAAACTTCTATGGGTAAATAAATTATATTTAATCTCTCGTTGCGAAACAAAAACATCGAACAAACAATGTTTACTTCTCCTAATACACGTTTCTCGATTGCGGAATGCTGAAATACGGAAAATAGAAAATATGCGATTTAAAAATTTCACACGCGCTTTTCACACGTTCTCCAAGAAAAGTATGAAAAATAAATAATAAAAACAAATATTGACTGAATTAATTATATTTTTTTGTTCATTGGAATTGGATTGCTTCCTTCCTTCTCAATGCATTCACTTCAATTGCGGAGAAAGTCTATTAGAATTAGAAATTGTGGAATTGAGCAACGGATTAAAAAAACCGTATTTTAATTATCGGAATCGATCGAACGGAAATGGACTGATGAATGTTTTATAGGAATGCAGGCACTTCGGGGACGATCCGCTGCACCGGCCAGGATGACGAAACTGACAGCAAAGTGAAGTACAAGAGGGATTGCTGCTACATCCTGCAGGATGATAGGCTGTGTCCGCTCTTCACCGTGAAGGAAATCATGAATATGGCGGCAAAACTAAAACTAGGATACTCTGTTTCCGAGAAAGCCAAAGAGTTGGTGGTGAGTTCATGTTATTACAATTTCAAACGAACAATAGAAAAAAAAATCATTTAAATACAATTAAGGTCAACAGATAGTAATTTCATACTGCTATTCTATTTTATTTTTAATGCAGATATTTGATATATTGGATACGTTAGGCTTAAGTAACACAATGGACACTAAATGCAGTCGCCTCTCTGGAGGTCAGCGGAAGCGTCTTTCAATTGCTTTGGAATTAATCGACAATCCACCAATTATGTTTCTGGACGAACCGACGACGTAAATACATTGAATTAACTCGAATTGTGTTTGCAAATGATCTTATACGTATATTTTTTTTAGTGGTTTAGATAGTTCATCTTCTCTGCAATGCGTCACTATGTTGAAAAGTCTAGCTCGTGGTGGACGGACGATCGTGTGCACTATTCATCAACCTAGTGCAACAATTTTCGAAATGTTCGATCATGTTTACATTTTAGCTGAAGGATATTGCATTTACCAAGGGAAATCCATGAATACAGTCTCGTACCTTTCTAGAGTGGGTTTGCATTGTCCGCAATACCACAACCCAGCAGATTATTGTACGAAATCTGAAAACACGTTAAACATACATAATTTTTAATGATCTTATCATTCTAGTACTTGAAGTTGCAAATGGCGAATATGGAAATTTCACAGAAAAGTTGGCGAAGTTCTCCACAGAAACGAATTTTAGAATGTTGGAACCTTCAGATATTTTAGGTATACTTGAAATTTAACTTTATTTGTTCGTTACTAATAATCAGATACAGTTACAGAAAAAGAGCCATGCAAAGATGAACATTCCAAGAAAACAACAGTCTTAATACAAGCGCCTTCGGAATGGTACAAATTCCAGATCCTCTTCCAACGGTGTCTTATACAACTTTACAGGGACTGGGTAAGCAATAAATATTATTTTTTTGATATAATTAGAAATTAACCATATATTTGATATTTAAATTATGTGTGTATGGAAATATCTATATTTACAAATTAGTAAAATAGATTATTTTTAACGTATACATAATAGATATATACTATTAGTTAATATTTAAATATAGATATTAACTTCCGTTTATAATTATTTAAAAATGAAATTCATACTAAAATTTTTTACTTTTACTTTTCATTTTGAATATAAATTTTGTTTATTAAACAATAATTAACAATTTGTGCACGTTGCCAGTGATCTTATACAAACTTACAAAATATTAATTTTCTAAATAATATTTATTTACGGTAAGTAACTTCTTTCTATTAAATAATTATTTTCATTCTTCTAGATATTCTATTCTTTCCTATTCTATATGAATTTTGCGGCATTTTGGCAATGGCTTTCTAAGTTTTATGTATTATAATAATTAGTTTAGAGGTAAGATCGTTAATATTTTTATTACAGATATAAACAACTTTTAATACATTATATACAACAAATTCTTCTACGGCACAAATAAATACTCTACTATGTATTGGGAACTATACATTATCAGACACGAATACACAAGCAGATTCAGATCGATTGATTAATAAGCACACATGGTGGAATATTTTCAATAATTTTTCATATTATTTATTTAAATTATCATGTTTAAATTATTTGATTTTATATTTGGTATGTATGGGTCATTAACAGGGAAATCATTAATGAATAATAAAATCGTTACATTTCATTCGCATGTATACTAATAAACTAATTCACTTTTCATTGAGTTTTTGAATATTTTGTGTTCAAATTTTTTCCTTAATTAATTATGTTTGTGCTTCGGTCAAACAACCCTTCTAATGTTTTTGTTTATCTAACTGTTTTTAATTGTTTTTAACCGTTATTATGAATATCTTAAAAACTACTTATCGTATTTGGGATAATGCAATTCCTTCACCATTCCATTTTTTATTTAATTATACCTTTCTATCCTGGGTTAACAAAAACTTACTATTGTTCTCTTAAAGTGGCACACTGGATTTATAAAAACAATATTATATCTAACAACTTTACAAGAATCAATTTTCCTGAATATTTCTTTTAACATTTTGAATTGGAAATAAACACGTTTCGTTCACAATTAAAATCCCAACAGAATGTGCAATCCAATCATCTACTATAAACAATGAAACATATGATATATTTATATATATGTACTCAATAAATATACGCATATACTATTACTGTTGATACTATTATTACTATAAACACAAACATTAAAATATTTATACCTACATGAAATATACACCATGACTAAAATCATATGTATTGATCAATGATTAATTATTTGTATTAATAATATTTTTAATACTGATTGATTGATTGATTCATGCATGATTTTAGGACGAAACTTATAAACTAAACACTAATTTCAATTTCTGCTTAATATTTTTACAGACAGTCACACAATTAAAACTCGTATTACACATCCTAGTCGGTATATTTGTAGGTGTTTTATATATGAATTATGGAAATGATGGATCGAAAGCCATTAAAAACGTTGGATATTTTATCGTTTCCATTGTCTACATCATATACACATCAATGATGCCCGCTGTTGTTAAATGTGAGTATGCAATTTTTGGCTATTTTAAGAAATGCGTACTAATAAATAATTACTGATAATTTCATCATAATTTAAATAATTTTAGATAAAACCATAAAATGAATATTAAAATGTTTATTATCCATTACAGTTCCATCTGAAATACCAATTATCAAGAAGGAAAGCTTTAACAATTGGTATAAACTAAACACCTACTACATGGCTTATATAATGGCCAATATGCCAGTTCAAGTAAATGAACGATTAAACATGATTTGATTGCACATCATAAACTTCTATGTTTTAGGTTGTGTTCTCGCTCGTATATACGGTTATTTCATACCTAATCAGTGGACAACCAATAGAAGTTATGAGAATGCTGATGGTTTTTGGGATTCAAACTATTGTTTCGTTAATAGCAGAAAGCTTCGGTTTAATACTTGGGACAACAGTTAATCCAATAGTAAGTAATATTATATGTAAGAAATTATATTTGAAAATGAATCAATTATCAATAGTTCATTTGACACTGACATATTCAATTTTCGAACCAGTTTTTTTTTAAATTCAAAATGGATAAGATTTATCGCATTTATAAAAAAGTCAAAAATTGGAGGCAAACCCATCAAGCGGATTATGACTTTTGTAGTGCCTTCTGTCTAATATACAGTATATATTTAATATTTAAAAAGGAAGACGATAAAAAATAAATACACATGTTCACTAATTAATTTGTATTGTGTTTGTTTTATTCTTTTAGAACGGCACTTTTTTGGGTGCGATTTTGACGGCACTCTTCTTGGTTTTGGCCGGATTCCTGATGCTGTTCTCGCACATGTCAAAGTTCATGTACGTCCTCTCGTACTTTTCCTATATAGCGTACGCGATGGAAGCTATGGTACAAGCCATGTACGGCTTCGAAAGGGAGCAACTTCCATGTCCACCGGATGTATCGTATTGTCATTACAAATCGCCAACTATCTTGCTAAAAGATCTAGGGATGCAGAATAGCAATTACATGTATGACCTCTTAGTTCTGGTAGCTAACCTCATCGTAATGAAAATTGTTGGCTTCTGCACGCTGAGACGGATGATCAGGAAAGGCATATAATATGCTCGAAACCGAAGACTATCTCCAGGCAAATACTATTTCAACAACCTCTTATCTTAAGCTTTAAACTGTATGTTTTAAAATATTTAACTGCGGTTAAGTAATGAGTATTATACCAAGAATTTGAATCATTTAGTCCACCGGGAATTAATTTTATTTTAGTAGGTAAATGTGATCAATGTATATAATTTATGATAGTTATATTATTTTTATATTTCTAATTTAGTGAGACTTGTTATGTAAAAGCATTCGACTTTGAAAATATGCACTTACACAAGATTTTTATTATATATTTACAATAAAATTGAAACCGTTAATCTTTCAGGATATAGAGAAATATTTGTTTTTATATAAAAATACGTATCTTTGTTATACAAAAAATAGAAATGTTACATTTGTAAGTAGATAAACATATTCTATCATGCTATATTATTTTGAAAATACTACGTATTCTTACAAAATAATAACATACATGCAAAAATATTTAATAAGTTATATATGTTTTTATAAAATCAATTAACTTCATCAACGTTTCAATATTCATTCATACTAATATTAAAAATTGAACTAAATGATCCATTCAATTCAGCATCATCGCCATCATCATCATATAGAAGCACCGGTAAATATCAATTATCAATTTATATTTAATTGCAATAACAAACATGCTTTATTAATTATATATAAATCATCTTTTTTTAACATGACTTCTATAGTTATTATTGTTTTATTTTACTGATCTTACTTTTGTAAATTAGTTAATTTAAATTCTTACAATTAATCTTCTGTACACATTTTTTTCATTCATCAATTATTCAAAACATTTCAATTCCAAGCAACAAACTTGGCATAAATTGAATATATTCTGTAGAGTAAATATATTAACCTAGTTCTATCCTTTCCTTAGCATATCAATAATAGTGAACATTTATAGTAGTTCCCACGAATGTACACAGGGATTCTCTTTGAATTGGTTACAAGGCTTTTTGTCGGAAGAAAAAGCCATTTAAATATTGATTTTAGATTTTTTAATTAGAAAATAGGTTACTCGAGATACCGTTTCGAGCGTACTTTATTATTCAGTAGAGCAGTATTTTTTTTTCTTATTATTAAATAGATCATAAAATTACAATCACTAAGTTTTATTAGGAAAAGTAAACTGTGTAAATCCTTGACATTTTCTTAATCAAACCGAGTATCAAAGATTTTTATTATTTACAAAATTTTTTTGGCCTCAATTTGGAGCAAAGGGCTATCAACATATGTGTTTCTTACGCATTTGAATGATATTCTTAGTTTTGGATTCTGTCATATACTAACTAATAATAATACTTCAAATAATAGGTTATAACGAATTGATGATAAGGTTTATTATCATTTACATGAAATTCGAGATATCGTTTCGAGTAACAATAAAGTAAAGTACATTTTTAGAATTTTTAACATTTATGTTTACCAATCGTTATTTATAATATATTTCACTTAAACATTTGAAAATAATTTGAAATTAAATTAAGAAATTAATTGCTAGCAGATAAAACTTGACGATTTCGGCTAAAAATCGTGCGTGTAGTTCTTGTTAGTAATTACATTAAAAAATATCTCATGTATTTTTTCATTTTGTTGAGGTTTATTGGAAATTTAAATTAAAAATTAAGTTCATTTTTGAAACTGACAATATAATTATTAATTTAATTATCTGTGAATCTGAACATTTATTTAAACTTATATATTTTTCTTCAATTTTTGATCTAGAAAGTCTAGATTCTTTGATCGGTCTGGTTAATAAGTAGGTTGACCTGAGATTAATATAATTCTCTGTTATTATTTTGAGCAGCTCTCTCCAGATGTTTTTTCTTCAATTATTAAGTATTAATAACTACTGTGCCTCTAAATCTATCCTAGAAGTTTCTAAAATGTTCAATGTCTGCTAAAACTAACTAATTAAAAAATATGTATATATATATATTCTTCACGCTGTGATTAGAAAATAAATTAATATTTGTATATCAAATATTTAATAATGCTATGTATAGCTTAAACTTAAAATTTAATTTAAGTTCATTATAGTCAAACATTCCAATCTTCATTGGTAAATGAACTTAAATTACAGTTTGATATATTTAATAGCTTTGAAATTACAAAAAAATACATCTCTGCGTCTCAAAGTATGTATATATTGTGCTTAGATGTTATTGATTTTATGTTATTCAATATTTGCATGTACATTTTGCTTTAATTATAACAAAAGAAAGATATATTAAATCCCCAGACAATCACTTATGACACATGAACAATTTTGAATTAATTTTTATTTCATTATATTGTGCTTACTGGGGTTTTACTGTATTTATAATATATGATTTTCACGGTTTTTCGTGAAGATTGTATATTAACTCTAATAAAACTTCAATTAAATGTTTGACTTATTTTAGACAGTAACACAACTTAAAATTGCATTACATGCAGTAATAGGCGTACTTCTTGGATTACTATTTCATGGATTCGGCAATAATGGTGCGAAAACATTCTCAAATGCTGGGTATTATGCCATGTCAGCTGTATATCTAAGTTACACTTCAATGATACCAGCTGTAGTTAAATGTAAGTTATTTAAAAAAAAAAACACAAAAATAATTTTATATAAAACTATATATATGTTCGATAATAGTTCCAGCCGAGGTTCCAATCGTAGCAAAAGAAACCTTCAACAACTGGTATCATCTAAAAACATACTATGTTGCTGTAACTTTAGCCCACATTCCTACTCAGGTAAATGAATATATATATAAATATTCTTTGTTAAATTAATTCTTTTTCCAGGTTATTTGTGCAATTACATACAGTAGTATTTCTTATATAATAAGTGGTCAACTTTTTGAATTAAATAGATTCGTCATGTTTCTGTCTATTACAACCTTGATAAACCTTGCAGCAGACGGGATGGGCATTGTCATTGGAACTATTTTAAAACCTGTCGTAAGATTTCATTTATTTTGTACCTATAACAACAGGATTAATTTTTGTTTTCGTCTTGTAGAATGGAACATTCGTCGCTTCAGTTTACACCGCATACTTGATCTTGCTCTCGGGCTTCTTCGTACTCTTAAATCATATGAACAGATACACCTATTTGCTTACCTATACTTCTTACTTAGGATATGGAATGGAAGGTATGATGCAGGCTATGTACGGATTTCAAAGACATAGTTTGCCGTGCCCAGAAGACATTGTTTACTGCCAATTCAAATCTCCAAATGAAGTTTTGGATGAATTCGGAATGGGCTCTGCGAGTTATACCATAGATATTTATTACTTACTTCTTCATTTTATTATTTCGAAAGTAATAGGGTATTTCACTCTTAAACAAAACATAAAAAGAGGATAATAATGTAATTGAGATTTCTATAATTATTTAATATTTTTATTCATTATAAAAAAATATATACCACATCAGTTTTAATGTTTTTATACTTATAGGTGGGTACTTATTATACACGAACTCTATACACAATGTATATCATATATATATATATATATTAGAAAAATAAACAAAAACACATTTTTAAAATTTTTATTTATTGAATCAAATTTATCATAAACCCTGTGTTTTAGTTTTATTCTATCCAATCACTGCTTTCATTTGAAAATTTGCATTTTGTAATACAAATCTACTATTACAGTTTCCTAATGTGTTGACAAGATAATTGATAGGATCACTTCCTTTAAATGGGTCTATATCGCAAGCCCGACAACCGAAAGACCGTCTATTGAAAGCCCGACGTTCGAAATCCCGGATATATCGAAATCCCGGCAGTGTCTTTTATTATTATAATTTCTACAATAACATTTTTAAATTTAATAAGTACGACGAATACTGAAAAAAATATTTTTAAGACCTAGGTCGATGGCCCGATTATTAATTGTTGTTATTTATTCTTAATAACAATAAATAATATTAAATATAATTGTATTTTTTTTCGTTGACTTATTCATTATAAAATTTAAGAATAAGAAATATTCTATAATAAAATTAGTTTATATTATTAACAATAAATAACAACAATTAATATTCTTATTAAGTTTTAGATTGTTGGGATTTTGATTGTCGGGATTATGGTAGTCGGGATTTTGACATAGTCGGGATTTCGATACACTCGGGATTTCGAACGTCGGGATTTCGATAGACGGGATTTCGGTTGTCGGGCTTGCGATTGCCACCGCTTTAAATAAATAAATACAATTTGCCAAAGGGCCCAAACTATCCTTAATTAATAAAATAAAAGAAGAACAACTATTACAAAGGGATATTGCCTTTCAGACGTTAATTCTTATTTAATCATTTAAGAACATATCAATACAATATTTTCAAGAAATAAATTATCCATTATGTCCGAAAGAATCCGCGCTATCTATTTTAGAATTTTTTAAATTATAGTTGCATAGATGGATAACAGATGGAGCTTAGGTGATTAAATTTACGCGAAGTCGTAGTTAAACACATATGTGTATGTGACATTTACAGTGACGTGTAGTGAGAGTAGTGCATGGTGAATTGTCCTCACTAAAAAATATGTTAGATTTATTTACAATATTTAGTAAAGGAGGCATCGTTTTATGGTGCTTCCAAGGCACAGGCCAAATATTTGCACCATCAGTCAATGCTTTAATCAAAACTGTGATCCTACAAGTAAGTATTCATATTTCATTACTCACAATGTTTTTCATCATAACTAATGTTTGTGAAAATCGAAATTTCAATGGAAACTTTGTTATTATAAGTATTTTTAGTATTAATATTAACATTTAAAGGTTTCACAAAATAAGTTAACCATATATTTTTAATGAACAATAATTTATTTTAAATATATTTTAACTCGTGATATTTAACTGAGATTATAATTCAATATGTAATAAAATTATGAACACTTTGACTTAATTTTGTCTAATTAATTAATTATAATATTTAGTATACTGTAGACCCATTTACATTATACAAACCATATGTCATATTATTTTGTTAAATATACAACCAGAATAACATGTTTATATAATGTAATAAAATGTTTCTTGTGTTTGTAGGAAAGGTCTGGAAATCAAACATTTGAAAAGGATGGTGTTCAATTGCAGTACAAACTGGATAATGAGTTTGATTTGGTTTTTGTTGTGGCCTATCAAAAGATTCTGCAATTATCATATGTGGATAAATTTTTGAATGATATACATTTGGAATTTAGGGACAAATATAAAAATGAACTCTCTGATGGCAACTATTATCAGCAGTTCCAGTTTATGGATATTTATAATAAAATTTTAAAGAAGTCTGAGGAATGGGGCAAAACACAAGCTAAGCTGCCCAAGCAGATGAGAAGCTATGAGGAGAGTTTTAAGAGCAAAAAAACTGTGGCTTCCATGATTGAAAGGAAGGGAGAAGAAAAACCTGTTAAAGTTACCAAAAAGAAGGAGGTCAACTTCACTGAGGAAGTATCTCCCCAATCTTCACCAAAACAAGAAAATGGAATTAACTGTGAAGATCTTATTGCTGCTAACAGAGCTAAGTTTGCTCAAAAAATGAACAAGGGCAATAAAAAGTTGGATACCAAGTAAATATTTTTATTGCTATTAATTACATATATTGAAGTTTTATTTGTTTAGGAAAAGTCCTAAGAGTCCAAAAAGCCCCAGTGAAAAGGCTGGAAAGAAGCCGCGCGTTTGGGAATTGAGTGGTAGCACTAAAGATTTGGGTACTTTAGAAAGAACTACTGATAGGCCAGAAGATATGAAAAGTCATTTTACTCCAGATGAAGAAGTTAGTTTCATTTTATTCTTATTAAAATATTTATTCTGTTAATTCTTCATTTGCAGATCGTTGGTAAAATGCAAGGTATTATTAAGGACATTGAAGTGGACTCTTCTAGTGAAGAAGAATATGAGTCTGATTCTGATCATGAACAACCACAGAAAACAGAGAAGGCTAAAAGTGGTGGAATGTTTTCTATTTTCAAAGGGTTGGTGGGTTCTAAGAACCTTAACAAAAACGATATGATACCAGTCTTGGAAAAAATGAAGGATCATTTAATATCAAAGAACGTTGCTGCTGATATAGCCATAAAACTGTGCGATTCAGTCGCTGCAAAGCTCGAAGGAAAGGTTTTGGGTACATTTGATAGTGTTGCAACAACAGTGAAAAATACAATAACTGAAAGTTTAGTACAAATTTTGAGCCCTAAACGGCGTGTTGATATATTGAGAGATTGCATGGAGGCTCAGAAACAGAACAGGCCGTACGTTATGACTTTCTGTGGAGTAAGTGTTAATAATTAGATTGTAGTCATTTATTAAAATACTTATTATAGGTGAACGGAGTCGGAAAATCTACGAATCTTGCTAAGATCTGTTTCTGGTTAATTGAAAATAATATGAGTGTTTTAATCGCGGCTTGCGATACTTTTCGTGCGGGTGCTGTTGAACAGCTTCGTACTCATATGAAACATTTGAATGCTTTGCATCCACGTGATAGACACGGTGGAATAGAAATGGTCCAACTATATGAGAAGGGTTATGGAAAGGATGCAGCAGGTATTGCGATGGAAGCCATCAAACATGCACACAGAGAAAACATCGATGTAGTTCTGATAGATACGGCCGGTCGAATGCAGGACAACGAGCCATTGATGAGAGCTCTCACTAAGCTAATTAGAGTTAACGAACCGGACCTTGTCCTGTTCGTAGGTGAAGCATTGGTTGGAAACGAAGCTGTAGATCAATTAGTCAAATTTAACCAAGCCATGGCCGATTATTCCTCAAACTCTGATCCTCATATTATTGATGGCATTGTTTTAACGAAATTCGATACAATCGACGATAAGGTAAGACCATTGTTTTAATTATCCGATCTCTTTAGTAATGAACTTTGTCATTTACAGGTCGGAGCTGCCATTTCAATGACATACATAACTGGCCAGCCAATCGTATTTGTTGGCACAGGCCAAACTTATACCGATTTAAAAGCATTGAATGCTAAAGCAGTAGTTCATGCTTTAATGAAATAAGTTATTTCAAAGATTTTAAAACCTATAAAATAAACTTAAAATTAATATTTTGTACTTTCAAATAAGAATTTATTGGTTTTATGGTAATGGGCCATGGTATTTTTTATATTTCAGTAAAGCTCTTTTTAAAAAAATAATCATTTTTAATTGTGTTTTGTATAAGCACCAATTTTGTCTGTAAATACATGTCTTGTTGAACTTATTTATTGTTTATATAATTCATTTCAAACAAAGTACCAAAACATTTACGAATATATACTGTTTCCCACTTTCTCTATTCAAATAAATTTGTTGAATCATAAAACAGTGATTTGATAAACCCACATTGACATGAAATTACAAATTACAGTTATGCGGCCACCGTGGAAACGGAATAACGTCTTTGATGCTGCTTATGCCTAGTATCATTTGCAGGTATCGCTCGAAACCTAAACCGCAGCCTCCTGTTGGCACGCTGCCGAATTTTCGTAAGTCCAAGTACCATTCCAGATTTTCGCTTGGTAAATTTTCTTTTAGTTTCTCGTAGCTATTCTCGCGCAAACTTCCACCAACAACTTCACCTACATTAGGTGCAAGCAAATCTAAAGCATCAACCTACAAATAAATGATTAAAATCGAAAAAATCTGAAAATGATAAATAAATTACTTTTGTAGAATCATGCGTACATTCTTTCATGTAAAATGGCTTTTTCTCCTTTGGCCAATCAATTATAAAAGTGGGAATGTTTCCACAATGTTTCACAATAAACATTTCATCCTCTTTTGTAAATCCTTCTTCACTATTGAATGAAACATCTCGTTGTTTAGCAATATCAACTGCTTCCTCATAAGTTAAAATTGGGAATTTTTTGTTCACCCAACTTAAGTCAACTTCTATATCTTGTGCTTTCTTTAAATCCTCAGGATATTTGTTAAGAATCTTCTTTGTCATCTCAACCACCATATTTTCTATATGATCTGTTAGTTGTTTGATATCACTCATGAAAGCAGTCTCAGTTTCTAACATGTAAAATTCAGATAAATGCAGCCTGGATCTAGAATTCTCAGCTCTAAAAGTTGGACCAAAGGTGTATACTTTACTAATGCCATGAGATAAAGCTTCTAAATGCAACTGACCAGAAACACTCAGGAACACTTTACTGTTAAAATATGCTTCCTCTTTTGATTGATTTGGTTTAGACATTTGCTTTAAAGTTTCCTTATTATCTGGGAACACAGTAAAAACTTCTCCAGCTCCCTCACAATCATTAGATGTTAATATTGGTGTGTGAACATTTATGTAACCCTGCTCATGAAGATGTTCATGAACTGCAAATGTTGCTGCATCTCTTATTCTTAAAACTGAGGAAAATTTATTTGTTCTTGATCTTAAATGTAAATATTGACGAATATAATCAGCATTATATTGTTTCTTGGGGGCAAATGGATACCCCTCTGAAACAATACATTCACCCAAAACCTTAACTTCTTCTGCATTTAACTCTAAGTCACCTTTGGGACTCAAACTTAACTTCCCTTTGGCTATAATTGATGAACCAGGTGTCAAATCTGTAGGTTTTAAGGAATTATTAAGCAAAATTTGTAGTCTCTTTTCTGAACATCCATCGCTAACATCAAAAAAAACATTTTCTTTCATTTTTCTCATTGATTTAACCCATCCCTAAAGTAAATAATTAATTTTAAAACTGCAATGTTTTCATTTTAACAATGATTTTTACCTGCACACTTATAAAATCACCACTTTCTTTATTTTTTAGAACATTAGCTATACTTTTAGCTGAAGAATTATAATATCTTCTAAACATCTTAAAGTTTTTGAACATTTTCTATTCTTAATTTTAAGGTTGGGTGTAATAGTTCAAATAAGAATATCTAAATATAACTTCGAAATTGCATAATAAATATAAACATAATTATTGCAAAAATAAAAATTGGTAACTTTTCAGAACTTATATAATTTATGAAAGAATAATTTAAGTTGTTTTAAATTAATTGAACTAAAAATAGTTCTTTTGAAGTTCAAATCAGTGTCATTTCCTAAAATTACATGTAATAGGTTATGTTTCAACTTGAGTTTATTTGAATCAATTAATAAACGTAATATCCTTAAACAATGGCTTCAAAAGTATGTTTCAAGTCATTAATATGTTAAATATTATTAATACAATGTTGTAGGCTTTAAAGCATTTACGTAGATTTACAAAATCCACGCCTTTGGAAAGGGGTTTGGGACCAATGCTTCCAGAAGGATATAAGAAATTTTATAATGAATGGAAGTATTCAGAACCTGCAGCTGTAAACTATGTTCCAGAAAACCAAAAATGGATCAGAAATGAAGTTACAAATGAAGTGCAAGTTATTTTACTATTCATTTGATGCAGACAACTTATTTCTTTAACATTTTAGTTTACCTGTACAAGATGTACCACTTCCTTTAAAATACCCCAAGGAATATGATGAACAGTTGTGGGGAGGTGAAGCTGTAGTTCAAGGTTTCCAGAAACGTGATATGTTTTTGAGAAGAAATCCTCATTTTTGGGTACCACCACTACAGAGATCTGTAGTATACAGTGAAGTATTGAATAAACATATTTCAGTTATTGTAACAAGAAGAGCCATACAATTAATTAATGCTAATTATGGATTTGATCATTATCTATTAAAGGTATTCAGGTACATTGTTATATATAAAACCCAATAACACATTGATTACAGACTCCGGCTTGTGATTTAAAATCACTGTTGCCATTGGGATTAAAAAGAAAAGTTTTACAAGAACTTCATAAAGGATGTCCATCTTATGCTGATACACCAGATAAACAACAAGAAATTTTTAGTCGCTACAAGACTTATTTGAGTGCTGTAAACATGCTATTTAATATAATAATGAATGAAATATATATTAATGACAATATTGCAGTATACTGAAGAAGAAATTGAATGGTATGGCTATTCTTTAAAAGATGCTATCAAGAAGTATGAAGATCAAATCAAAGCTGCAACAAAAGTAACACCCTTAAAAACGATTTACCGAGCGGAGCTAATAGAAAAATTAAAAACTGCAAAAATTGATGAAGCAAATTCTGAAGGACTTGAAGTAGCGTAAGTTTTTAGTACTAGTAATTAAAATGAATGCATTATGAAATTGATAAATTTTGTTTTTGTAGTGGATCTACATGGATGCAAAAGATGAATCCATTTGGAAAGAAGCAGGAAACCTAAATACCAAAGTTAGTTTTGTTGTTACAAATAAAAATATACTAGTTTCAAAATATAAAGGCTCTTTTATTTAAAGATTCTTTGACAACATCTAAAGTCATAGGGTTTGTACAAATATTTTATACAATTAATATATTTATCTATTATAATTTGATAAGTTAAAATCACTAAACATTATGGTACATTTTATAAAAATTAATAATTTCTTCAAGTCAATGAATTACAAATATTACAAAACTAGAACAAAAATTAATATTCATGATCACTTTTAGATCTCAGTTCAATTTAAGTTCAAAACAAAGAAATTAACAACACATTATCGAGGATAAACCTTATATCAAGTGGTTCGTTTTAAGGCTTTCCTTATAGTAGTCCAGTCATCAATGATATCTTGTGGTTTAAGCATATAGACTATGTAAGGACCAGAAACTGTAACAGCCTTTCTCCTGGACCTTGATCTTGATCTGGAGCACCATTCACCACCCTCACCCCAATTAATTTCTACATTGTGTCTGTCCTCCTCCAACTTTCTAATAGTTTCATTTAATTCATCTTCATAGAAGTCTCTGGCCAATGATTTCTCACTTTTGAGATGTTGTAAAGCAGCTTGCTCTTCAGCATCAAATTTATGTTGAATATTGTCCAACCTTAACTGTCGAAGTATACCAGCTACTTCAGTCCTAATTCTCATATTTTCCTTTAACTCTGATAAAGGCACCAAGTACTCTTGACTTCTCTCACTCTTTATTTCAGACAGTTGATGATCAATTTGGGCAATCCGTTCTTTATATAATTGCTCACGTAGCATTGAGAATTGTTCTTCTAAATCAGTAAGGTTTTCCATACATTCGTTTCGTCGCACCTCGCATTCCTTCTCATCCATTTCAGAGCTATCGTCAGAGTCAGCCTCGTCGACATCGCTAGAATCGCGGCCCCCATCATTTTCTCTGCTAGTATTTGATCGATCAGTTTCACCACCCGACACATCTCCATCACTATCATCAGCAGCTGCATTCGTCTGCAACTTTATTGGAGCCATAGCCAAAACACAAACACTATTTATTAACTGTTTATAAAGATTTAAAATGTTAGGTTAGTTTGTCAGAAATAAAATGTTATGACAGTTGTGACGCCCACAAGACACTGTTGCAATTTTTTAAGGTTTCTTTTATTATTATTAATAATTTCAATTTCTCTACGAAATGATTATAATCATGTTTATTAATATTTATATTAATAGCAAGTATAAAACTGTAATAATAAAATGTTTCAAATAAAAGTACATAATAATCATCTGAAAAATATCTGGCAACGTTGTAAATGGTTACCAAATTAACCTATAAAGTTGTGTAAAAGTCTAATAGATTTCCAAAAATGTCCAGTGCTAAGTCCGGAATTTTCTGCTCAATCCAAAAGTTTCGCCAATTATCCTCTTTTCGTAGAGGCATAACTGGCGGGAGGGTCATGTACACGAAACCTTCGCAGAGTGAACCCAAATCTAATGTAGCAGCTGTACCTGGACTCAGTGGAAATGTAGTACAGGTGATTCAGGAACCAGTAGGCCCTGGAGCTGGAAAAGCGACCAACTACAAAAATCCTGAATATTTTTGCTACAATAACACCAGTTATTTTGAAGCTGAAGTTGAAATGTTGAAATACAGATGCCCACAACCATCCAGCAAAAAGTAAACCTAATATTTGTCAGATTATTTAAATATATTAGTTGTAAATAGCAAGTATTTGTTTCATTTTATAACATAAAACAAGGTTCAACACTGTTGATGCTATTCCTATAAGCTGCAGATATCCTTTTATCATTAACACACACTGTGCCTCCTCCCCTATGCAGTTGATGTTCCTAAATATGATAATAATTAATAAGTTTAATGTATCAATATTTGGTCAATAAACTAACTGCTCTGTTGATGTCTCCTATACAAATCCAATTTGATCCTGAATTATTTGCAACAGCCCATTTGGAATGGTCTGAACTTGATTTAAATTTCAAATTTATCATCTCCAGTTTTATTCCCCTTACATTGTTAACACTTGAAAAATAATAGTTAATACCCATATAGTTATTTTGTAAGGTGAGTACCTGTATGATTTATTGCAGTCAGATATTAATTTTCCTGGTCCATTCAGCCAAGTCTCAGCATACATTCCAACTTTCAAGTTAGGTGCTACCCAATCAGAATATAGATCTTTATTGAACTGCTTATTCTTAGCAAAAGAGAGAAATCCTTTTCCAAGGAGTGAATTCAATTTGCTTTTGTGAAAAGATGGGGCATTGCTTATTTTCTTGTGATTTATTACATCATTAAGTTTTGGATAAATGGAGACTAAATCAGTTGGAATGTTTGATGAATAGATTTGAGGCTCATTGAATATTAGTTGAACACCTAGATAAAAACATTAAAATTGTAAAGATTATTTAAATAAATTTAATAATTAGTTACCAATTTTATTCATAATTTTCGCGTTGAATGATATACAAAGAGCACTTTGACCAAAATGCATTCCAGTATGAGGATACAAATAACTGTTATCGCTAGGTGGTGGAAATAGGGGTATTGAATGAACAATCCAAAAACCGCCTTGTTTATCTGCTACAACAATTCCTTTAGTATGACCTTTCTTCAAATTCGGATGTTTCGTTGGTGGTTCATCATTATACAATATATGTAGCAATTGCTTATTCTATGGAAAATATATCAAACACGTTGTATTCACACTAAAGTATTATTATTAATTTGTAAATTGCAACATTAATTTATATATTTTTTTAATTAAACATTTGCTGGAATATACTTTATAGTTACATTTCAATACAACGAGAAAGTATTAATTGAAGAATACCTTTTTGGTGTTGTATAATGGTTTCAAAGAATTTCCTAAGAATGACAAAGACGAGTTTACAGATAAGTTTGATAACTTCCAACTGCCCATGCTGTTTGAAGACATATATAGATAAGCCTCTCCATTTTTTATTAACTTATTGTAATGATTTTCACGCGGAATTTTATACAAAACATACCTTAAACATTATAATATCAATAATTAGTTAAGTATTGTAATTATGTATCTCACCAATCAACATTGTTATTTGTCTCATCCACACATTGCAAACAATTAGCCCCAATTAAAGAAAATACAACAAAGAAGATAATATGTATCATACTCATGATAATTTCAAGTTCAATACTGTACAGCGTTCAAAGAACGTATAAAGCAAGGTCCATATAAAAACCACATATATACCATTTCCACAATTTGATAAAGAAGAAATAATCAGTTAACAATAAATATGAGACATAAGTAAAATATTTCTGTCGTACTTCCGATTAAATTCATACAATTAAATTCATATGACGAAAATGTATTACAATTTGAATCTGCTACCAATAATGAAATGATGAACAATCAACGACAATGAAGTTGCAGCAAAATATTTTTGACATTGCTTGACAGCTGTTAACCAATATTGACAACTGATCAACAGAATTGGACACATCTTCAAATTTGCTTAGAAATATATTAACATTGCTATGAACGAAGCACGATTAGAGGTAGATATGAAACAAACAATTAAGATGATCTGTAAAGTATTATTTTGTAGATGATGGATGATAGCAGTAGTTATGTTGAGGGTGAAATGACTGTACCTTCAAGTAAAACCAGTCACTTAGGAAAACCAGAATTCAACACATTGGATGAACCTATTAAGGAAACAATTGTAACAATATTTTATGTGACAATTGCAGTTTTTGTTCTAATGCTCTTTATTTTAGATGCGAGATGTGAAAGCTGTTGGAATTAAATTTGCTTATGTTTTGTTTCCCAAGGAGAAAAAAACATTATTGAAAGAATGTAAGTTGCATTGTTTGCATGGTAAATTATATTAACATTAAGATTTTTAGGGGATTTGTGGGGACCTCTTGTTTTATGCACCTTCATGGCAATGTATGTTTAAATTAATATTGTTAAATTTTATTAAGAACTATTATTACTTTTTTCTAAGGATGCTACAAGATTCTTCTGATACAGTTAATGAAAATGATGGAGGTCCACAGTTTGCTGAAGTGTTTGTAATTGTGTGGATTGGTTCCATGATTGTTACTTTAAATTCTAAGTTACTGGGTGGCAACATGTAAGTAAAATTAATTATTTGAACTGAATCAAGTATGTAGGAATTTCTTTTTAGATCATTTTTCCAAAGCGTATGTGCCCTTGGATATTGTCTGCTACCCACAACTATATCATTGATTATTTGCAGAATAATCCTTCTTGCTACACAGACATATTTCTTATTTTTTCTCAGATTGTTTGTGTCAATGGCTGGATTTGTCTGGGCCACATATGGTAATAAATTTACTAAAAACGTTTTCAAATCTGATTATATATATTTAATTTTTCAGCATCTACAATTTTTTTGGGAGACAGTCAGAAGGAAGGTAGAAAAGTATTAGCAGTTTATCCAATTGGTTTATTTTATTTCATTATATCTTGGCTTGTAATTTCCCACACGAATTAAGATGATTATTGTTTTATACTTGTATAGATTTTTCTATTTTTAATTTGTATATATTTATGTGTCCAGTATGAATGTGCTTTTTCATAATATTTGTATGTATTATTTTCCGTGTGATCGTAATATATTTAAGAACACGCCTATTGTATTTTTATTTAATCATATACCTAATGATTATTATTATCATCATAGCATTAACATGCAAAATATACCCTGATTATTATCGGTGACAAACATTTGTATATATTGTAAGATGCACAAATGATTTGTTACATTGAAGATATTGAATCTATTTTAAAGATCTTGGACAAAAAGAAAACAGATTCCGAATATTTACTATAATTTATATTCATTCGCAGCCGCATTCAGATAATAAACATTAAATTGAATAAACAACGGAAGAATATATTGCAAACTTTGATGCTTGAACATAAACAATTTTAACAGAATATCATTATTTGCGTTGTTGTAGATGTTATGTTGAAAAGGCGGCAGAAGCGGTGTGAAAGAAAATTGGTGTTATTGGGGATAAAAAAAAATGAACTTAGAGCGACAGACAAGTGATGTTTGTTTCCGGGGTTAGATTTTTATTGCGGTGTTATTGCTTTCTTTTTCTAATTCCTGTGTGCAAGGAAAGGAAAATATTAGCGGTGCGTCCTTATAGGGTCCTTCATGAAAGGATTTATAGGATTTTGAGTATTATTTTCTAAACATGGTTTAAATATTTTGTAATTTTAAAGTTTAAGCTTTTACATTAAGTCATCTACAAGCTAAGCTTTATTAAGTCATAAATTATATCCTATTTATATGGGTTGCTAAACTTACTTTTAGTAAGTGCCCAATAAAACTTTAGGGCGGCTTTGGATCTAACCATTATAATCTCTTGCAACTGGGAAGTCAGGTATATAAGTTTTTAAACGAACAAAACTGCAATAGACCATTGTATATATTTTTTATTATTAATATTAAGAGTTTATGATTAACAATTATTACTAAAATTGTTATAATTGTATTATTATAATTGTTATTGTTAAAATAGTGTATTAACGAACTAGAGACATCCACGGCGTCTCTTAGTCGCATTATTATATAACCATATACATCAGCATAAAGGAATCTCTGCCGCAATTCCAGTTCAATACACTTTAATATGAACAAAGGGGACCAAGCGTAAACATTCCCATCGATACTCCTATACCTTTACTCCGAATTCAAGTCTATATTATAAACTTTTTCATATAAACAAATGCATAGGATTTTGTTCCGGTCTTAACATAAACAAAACCACCAAGGCCAAATTCCATGGGAACACTTAATCATCAATATATACAAACCCTAGTCCGGATCACAACTCCCACCCCATATTAATAAGAATTAACTTTGTAAGTAGAATAAGTATTTAGAATCAGTCTCAGTAAAACCTTCAAAGACTAATAGAGTCTTAGTAAAATGTTAATATGAGGAGCATAGTCTCATAAAATCCTAAGATGAGCATAGTCTTTGTCAATCTTTTAAAGTATCTACATTGTCTTGGAAAGGACCCCAAGAGTACCAATCATTATAATAAACTTGTTTAAAAGCAATTGAACTATTTAATTCCTACAACTGAAACTCCACAACGACAACACAGACAATATTCCACTGTGTCCAGAATTCCATCCCTGGGACACGACAATATGTCGTGTCCCAAGGTTAAGAAATCCTTGGACACCGTGGATTATCTCATAGTTATGTCGTTGCGGAGTCTTGGAGGGTTT